GCTGCTGTTGCTGCTCTGCGGCTGTGCTGCTGCGTCTGCCCGCGGCTGTTGCTGCTGCTTGTGCTGCTGCGGCAGTTGCTGCTGCGGCTGTTGCTGCTGCTCGCCGCGGCGGCGGCGGCGGCGGCCGCCGCCGCGGCGCCGGCGGCCGCAGCGGCGGCAGCGGCGGCGCCAGTTGCAAGGCCCGCAGCGCCGGCCCCAGCGGCGCCCGCGGTGCCAGCGCCGCCCGCGGCGGCGGCGGCGGCGGCGGCCGCCGCGGCGCCGGCGGCCGCTGCGGCGGAAGCGGCGGCGCCAGCCAAAGTCTAACCGCGCTATTCGGCACCTAGCCCACAAGCATACGGCACCCAGGATACACGCGCATACTACCCACCACCACAACCAGCACCAGCACCAGCACCAGTACCAACACCACCACCACCAGCACCACCACCACCAGCACCACCACCACCACCATCACCACCACCACCACCACCACTACCACCACCACGACCACCACCACGACCACCACGACAACCACGCACACACGCACGCACGCACGCGCACCACCACCCACTACGCACGCGCGCGCGGAGCCACAGGTCCGCTACGACACGCGCCCGCGGATAGAGAAAATCAGCGCCATGGCAAGGGATGGGCGGGAGGGGTAGGACGTCAGATATGACGCAAGCGCACCTAGCTTGCCCTCCTCCCCCCCCTCCTCCTCCGCCCCCCTTCCCCCCCTTTCTCCCCCGTGTCTCTTCCACCTTGTCTTCCGAATTCGCCGCGGCGGCAAGCGCCACCCGTCCGCTTACACCATAGCTCCGGCGGCGCCCGCGGCGCCCCCCCCCCGAAACTTAGCCCCCCCGCTCAGCAGCTCAGTCAGTCGCCCTCCGCAGCAGCCCTCGCGCGAGCGCACCCGCGCTCGAAGGCCACGTTGATGGCGGCCCCCCCAGTGCAACCGGACTTCGTCGAAGCCTGGGGGGGCGGGGCAGCGGCAGGCGAGGGGGGGGGGGGAGAGGCCGAGTTGGGGCGGGGGCGAGGAGGGCGAGCAGGAGGAGGGCGAGGAGGATGAGGAGGACGAGGAGACGGAAATGGAAGACAGGGGGGGCGGCAGCGGGCCCCCCCCCCCCCCCCCTCATCACTTTGTCTGGAACGAACTACTCCCCCTCATCATCCGCCTCCTCCTTTTTTCCCCCTCCTCCTCCTCTTCCTCTTCGCCTCCTCCTCGTCGCATCATCATCCCCTCTCATCGTCTTCCCCCTGGCCCCCCTCCTGCCCGCCACTCCTCCCCCCCCCCCTGCCCTCATCATCATCCCCCTTGTCCTCCTCCCTCCTTATTATCCTCCCTCCCCCCCATCCTCCTCCACCCATTTCTCTTCCGACCCCTCGCGTTCCTGCTCCTCCTCTTTCCCCCTCTCCTCGTCCTCCTCGTCCTCTTCCTCCTCCTCCTTCTCCTCCCCCCTTCTCCTCGCCTTGCCCCTCCTCCTCCCTCCTCCTCCTCCCTCGTCCTCCCCTCGTCGCCCTCCTCCTCCTCCTCCTCCTCGTCCTCGTCCTCACGTCCTCGTCCTCGTCCACGCCTCGCCCCCCCGCCCCCCCCCCCTCCCCCCCCCCCTCGCCCTCCCCCCCCCCGGCCGCCCGCTGGCCCTGGTGGCGCCTGCCCAAGCCGCACGCCTTAGCGCCTCGCTCGATGTCGCGCCCGGCGCGCTCGTCGCCCTGCGGGGGGGCCCGGGGGCGGCTCGCGAGCACGAGGCGCACCGCCTGCGCCGCCCCCATTAGCCCCATGGCGCAGAGACGCGCACCAGCCACGCACGCCGACCGGCACTCACCCTGGCGGCAGAAGATGAGCACTATAGCCCCGCGCGGCGCCGCAGCCAGGGTTTTTTCATCGCACCCCTCAGCTGCTGCGCGACCCCGCGGTAATTCCACGATGCTGGCAAGTGGACTGGGCCCTCCAGCCCTGCCGCCCACTGCCGCGCCCCGCCCGAAGGCCCGGCGCCGAGGCAATCCACCAGGATGTCCCAGTCCAAGCGATTAGCCCCATCCTGCACAGCCGCCACGCCGCCAAGCCACCAGTTCATCCCTGAGGTTCACAGGAGCTTGTTTTAAGATTACGAAGATATGGATATTATAATAAGATTCAGCATCTTATTTATAAGCTGCAGAAAATAGGTTCTTCAATACATGCAGCTGTTTATTTGCGTCGGCGCCGACAGGCGCGATGAAACATGAGTTTGCGTGAGGCGTGTGCCGATTTGGGCAATTTGGGATCTGTCTGCGCCTACTTGGGCCGCATGTAGAAAGCAACCGAGCTACCAGCGGCATCAAGGGTCGCGCAGAATTGAGCCAGCCAAATTTCCTCCTCCTCCTGCCCCTCCTCCTGCTCCTCCTCCTGCTCCTCCTCCTGCTCCTCCTTCTGTTCCAGTTCCTCCTCCTCCTCCTCCTGCTCCTCCTCCTCCTTCCTTTCCCTTTCATCCTCCCTTGTTTTTTTGTCATTCCCATCCTTGCCCTCTCCCTCCTCCTCCTCCTCCTCCTCCTCCTCGTTATCATCCCCAGCTGCTCCTTGTCCTCCCAATCGTTTCTTGGCCTTTGATCCTCAGCTTCTTCATCGTTGTTTTCCTCTTCTCTCCTCCTCCTCCTTCTCCTCCTCCTCCTCCTTCTCCTCCTCCTCCTCCCCCTCCTCCTCCTCCTCCTCCCCCTCCTGCTTAGTTTGCTGTTCCTCTACTTCTCATCCTCGCCGACAGTTTTCTCGAATCGTGCGAACGTGTGCTCTCGATTGCAAGTGTTAATCTCGCTCTTCTTTTCTCACTCTTAAGATTCGGACTGAAATCCCAAACTGTTACCCACCATTTGGGGATACATAAAACAAGAATGAAACTTCTTGGAAACGCAGGGGTTCGCGATATAGCACGCGTGCACCCCTGCAACATGAGGGGGGGGGAGGATCAGGAGGAGGAGGAGGAAGATCAGGAGGAGGAGGAGGAGGAGAAGGAATGGGACGAGGAAGACGACAACGAGGAGGACGAGGAGGACGAACACGAGCAGGAGGAGCAGGAGCACAAGCAGGAGCAGGAGGGAGCTGCAAGGATGTAGGAGGAGAAGGAGGAAGAGGAGGAGAAGAGGGAAGAGGTGAGGAGAAGGAAGAAGTGGAGGATAATGAGGAAAAGCAGGAGGTGGTGGGAGGAGGTAGGACGAGGTGGGAGGAGGTAGGAGGAGCAGAATGAGGATGAGGAGGATGAAAAGAAGGAGGAGGAGGAGGAGGAGGAGGAGGAGGAGGAGGAGGACCAGGAGGAGGAGGTTGAGGAGGAGGAGGAGGAGGAGACGGCGGAGGAGGAGGAAGAGGAGGAGGAGGAGCAGGAGGAACAGAAAATTCGGAATGAGGAGGGAGGGAGGGAGGAGGGAGGAGGGGGGAGGGAGGGAGGGGATGGCGAGACTGGGTGCCCTGGCGCCCGCCTGGGGCGTTCGATCGCTTGCCATGGGTGCGAGCTTCCGCGCCTGCTTCGGGGAGATCTCTAGGGGCCTCGGCGTTCGCGAAATCCCTTTAGAAGGCCTGTTCGTCCGTCGTCATTCGACCGTTGCTGTTTTCTTTTATGCGTGCATAATTGCGCGTGTGCGTGCTTTTGTGTGTGCGTGTGTGTGTGTGGGTGTGTGTGGTGTCTGCGTTGTGTGCGCGCCGTTTGGCTGTTAGTGCGAGTGTGCGCGCTTGGTTATTTGCCTGAAGGGTCTGTGATGTGATTGTGCTTTTGCGTGCGTGCGTGCGCATGTGTGTGTGTGTGTGCGTGTTTGCGCGCATCTTTTTGTTTTGCACGCGTGCCTCTGCACCATCCTTCGACTGCGAACTCTCTAGCGCTGCGCTGACCCAAGACTGTTGCACAACGGCGCTGGCCTAAACACGGAACTATTGACGCAACACAGTGGTGAATCACATTCACGGGTCACCGATGCAAGGGGCAATTCTTGTAGTCTGTTTCGGCCATGTCGCTGATAGCTTTGCACATGGCCTCTGGATAGGCTGCTGATACTTTCGTCAACGATTTGACTCCATCCGTCCATTTGCCCTTTTTCACAGTCAGCGGTACAGACGATGTCCCCTCCTCTTCCCTCTTGCGCTTCACACAGCGCTTAGTCTTCTCGAGCCAGTAGCACCCCGTGGGGTTAGTGAGGCGAAGTTCGAACGGCTTCTCTGAGAGAGCTCCGAACGCACCTCCATACGTAACAATTCTCTCGGCCTTGACCGTGTCCAAAACTGTGGCGATAGGACTGAACTTGAACATCAAAGACGCGAGGGGTTGCTCCAAGGTAAAATAGCAACCGCGTACATCAGCCATCAAAATCAAGTTTGATGTGAGCTGGGCGCAAGCATTGTCAGCTCTGGTTTTTTCCATCGAAGTATCACCTTTCATATTTTCAGGCGTCCTCTTGTAAGTATTCCGAGTCAAAAACACGAGCCAAGACGAACAATCGGGGCTGAACCATGCCGTGCCGCCCTGCTTCAGAGAGCGGATGAGGTACACTGCGTACATGAGTCCGTAAATCGACAGCACGTTCTCTTTATGCGAGTTGACTTTGTCAAACGATTTTGCTCGATATCCCTTTTCCTGGTGCGCGCGTGCTGCTCCGCCCTTGCCGCCGAAGACCAGCGCCAAATGAAGGACTCGTGGCACGCGCCCCCCTGGGAGACTGTCAAAGTATTCAGACACAACTGACCAGAGAGCAGCCACAGGCACGAGCATTGGAGTAAATATGAATAGCTCCTGAAGGGGTACAAACGTCGGCGTGAAAAATGAGTGTGTGTGTGCGTGTGTGTGCGCGCGCGTTTGCTTGCGCCTTCCGTGCCACGGTGGGCACAAGCAAACGCGCACAATCAATCACTCTGAATCGTCCTTGCCCCGATGGTCCATCCACCCTTCCCTGCTTCTGTTTGTTTCCCTTTCCATCCTTTCGAATCCTTCTCTTCCTCCTTCCCTCCTCTCCTCATTCCCTCCTTCAATCCATCCGTGCTTCCCTCCTTCTGAAGGCCCTGGGTCCTTGAAGCCAAGGGTAGATGCCACTTGGACAGCAGCATCACGCAACCATGGAGGATGCTCTTGAAATTCCATCTTGCCAAAGTGCAGCAAGTCTCATCTCACGGTAAAGGGCTCAGGAAATTGTTGAGGCCAAATGTTGCGATCAAATTGAAAGACCGAATGCACCGATGAGGAAATGTCATAGCGTGGGCGTGCTCAGCTACATCCCTCAAGACTTTATTCAGACCCTCGTCAACGAAAGTTGAATACCATCTTGGGTTCCCGTGGAACCTGATCCTCAGGAGTTTGACTGAGCAACACAATTAAGGAGATGAGACAGAGGGGGACTGACAGAGGGAAAGGCTAAACAGGAAAGCGTGAGAAGGGGGCTTGGAGGAGGGGGAAGGAGGAAGGAGGAAGAAGAAGGAGGAGGGGGAAGGAGGAGGGGGAAGAGGAAGACAAGGCATGGTGAAGAGATCTATGCGCAGGGGGTGCCAATGATTCTGCGACGGGGGCGGGGGCGGGGTGGCACCGATCCCTCTCTAGACACAAGGGCCCAGGGGGTGGGGGCTCCTGAAATCATGCGATTCTCTGGACCCCTGCGGGTTACCCGTCTAAGTTTCCAGAAGCTCTCGTTCCGGACCCCCCCCCCAGGTCCCCCCCATCTAAGGCGCCCCCTTTTCCAGCCACCCCCCTATGGTATTTGTGAAGCCCCCTTTGCCCCGAACCGCGCGACGCCGTCGCACGGGCAGACGAGAGAGGGTCATCAGAAAGGATTTTGGGATCAGAAGCTCTTCATGATTCTTACATTTTCGCTATCTAGATCACTCTCTGATTCTATGCGTGGCCCTCTCCCCACTCCCTCCTGCCTCCCTCCTCCTCCTCCTCCTTCTCCTCCTCCTCCTCCTCCTCCTCCGCCTCCCCACTCCTACCTTCGCTCCTCCTCCCTCGCCACCCATCCTCCGGGCGCCAGGGGATTCTGGAATGGACCAACCTGACTGCATTCATTTCAACATCCCGCGGGGTTGTCCGCTGCGCCGCGTGGACGGCGAAATGGAACTTCGGGGTAAAGTGAACCTGTGCCGTTTCGCATCGGGCCAGCGTTGCGACCATGAGATCAAACAGCGCTTGTAATTTGCTCTCCGCCACAACCGGGCCCTCGTCTTTCAGTATGTTCATGTATTCGATCATACATTCGCCAGCAACTCTGAGGTCTGTACCGAATGGGATGTCCGCGTTGTGTTTTTTGAGTAAGTCCACAGCAAATTGAAGCAATATCCATGTCTCATACGCTTTCGTCTTCGGGGGCTGCCCTGGGTGTGGATTGGTTTCGTTGTCCTCGTAATCCCCGAGCTCTCCCAACATTTTTGGTGTGAGGTCGCTTAGCCTGTCTCCGTGAGGGATACCAGCACGTTCGAAAAACTCAAACATAGATGCTTTCAGATGCCTGTAACCGATGTTCATAACTGTTTGCTTGTTTCCATGGATTTTCCCAGGGTTGTGGATGAGGATCCGCAATAAGATTGCTGATGCGAGTCTGCCGAATACGCCCAAATACAATGTACGCAATGCGTCAACAGCCACAATAGTTGATGGAGCGAGGCCCAACCGTAAATCGAATATGGGGTTTCTCCAAATAGCAGGGCCTGCTACTTTGGTTCCGTCATGCCCGAATGCCCGCCTCCAAAACGTCACCGTCACAGGTAAGGGGGTTGTGTCTAAGTCCCCAATGTTTAAAAGGGTCGCGCTTGGGACGAGGACATCTTTTGCTTTGAGGTTCCAGCAATCTGATATCAGTGTCCGCCCCCATTCTTTTGGCCCCTTCTTGTACTGCAATTTGCCCAAGATGAGTGATCGATCAGCCTCCGAATTCAGGGTCACGTGTGTTTCGCATTGCTGGCAAAACGATTCGTATTCGCGATGGTCCCTGGGTGCCCAAGGTAGACGTGCCAATTGAAGTAGGTCGGTGAATGCATGCATGTCTTCCGATGTACATTTGCACAACGAGCACGGCGAGCACGATGAGTTCACACTGGGGAGCCCGTGAGTGCGCAACGCGCCGGCCCAGTCTAGCTTTAGCCATATCACGCACCCTGTGAAGCCCAATGCCCCCCCTTTCGATTTTGACGCACGATCCAATGAGTGGCCGTCAGGGATTAGGTCACCATTGTAACGATGTGTCGGTCGGACACCATCGGCCAACACTCCTATGCACCACCTCAGGTAAGTAAGGATGGGGTACACACTGCACCACCCCCTGCACCCACAAGAACACGCACCTCGCGACCGCAAGGTTGTGATGAGAGTTCGCTTCCGAGTGAGCACGTTCGTGCACCAAAAACCCAACACTGTATCTGGGTTGGATGATGTCATTGAACTGAAGCGAACTGCATCCGTGTAAATCGCAAGCGGCACTGGGAGATCGGCGCCACTCCTTTGGGCCCGTTTTACAAGCGTGTGTTCCCAGTAAACGTCTGGAAGTTTTGTGTCGGGGCCGACGGTGCACGTGTCCTTGTCTTTGGAGATCGCTTCAGCAAGGGCCTCGTGAAGTAGGGTTGCCTCTGTTTGTAATTCACTCCTGGATCCAGTGTGTTTGTCCGTGGTGGGGTAGTTAATCACATCAACCATTTCTGGGCATGGCATCGCTTCGTCTAGGTCCCTGCTATACCTCCCCGTTTGCAAGCCAGGCGGGCGCGCATATTTGTGAAAGTCCCCCCCCAAGACCTCAGCACGGTCGCACCAGTGACACAGGATGCATGTATCTGCAGCAGAAAGTTTCCCGATCGCGTAAAGTTCTTTGATCTTTTGAAGTAGGTTGTGTCCAGCATCCCTCTGTCGTTGCAACCTCGCGTCGATCTCCTCCTGGGTACTAGCTGGCGGCTGGAGTATCGTTGGTTGGGTCCGACGCCGTTTGGGACGTGCCTCCATGGAACCATGATGTGGCAGGGGTGGCAAACAAACAAACTGGATTGAGAGGGGCAGCTCGATGGGGACGCATCGGAAACGAGCGATACGACGACGATGGGCGGGATGATACGAAGGGAAGGTTACAGGTAGGGAAACTGGAAGACATGAGCACCGATCACGATGAAAACGAGGAATGATAAGGGGTTGTGCGTGTAGAGGCGTGCGAGCAGAAGGATGAATATAACCCGCGCAAGTGCTACAAGCCTTCGGAAACACAGCGTGAACTTAAGATCACAGTGGCGCACCCCCCCCCCCCCTGAGCTCGCGAGTCAATTCGTCCAGAGGTCCTGCCGTTCTCTTTCTGTCATGCTCTGTCTTTCGAACGTTCAAGGGTCTGAGGGCGAGTACAAAGCCCTGGGGCCGACACTGTGTCTCGAAGAAGGTCGACATCGAAGCAAACTCGGTACCAGGACCTGACCCAGAGACGACTGAGGGCCCGATCGAACAAAAGGGACAGAAACCACGGGGTGCAATCCTATTGAGCTGCGAGTCGCATGAGACCAGTCCACAAACGATGACGATGACGCCTGAGGTGATGATGACGCGATTCCATCTCCAAAAAAGGGGAGATGCTGCATCATGTCCTGGCGCTCGTTCAAAAGGATACTAACTGGTCGTTGTGCGTACTAGTACTGCTACCTGCATGCTGCTCTTCTGCTTTTGCTTATGCTAGATATCACTGATTGGCTGTTGCCTCCCCCTCCCCCTGCGGTATCCCATGTGATGCAGCCGATGCAGGCAGCTATCCCGCAAGCACTCTACAGAGTCGCTCGAGCTGTCTCGTGCGCATCCCCGCTGCGACACGATCAAACACGCAGCAGCGACCAGCGGGTATCTGCAGGGCTACCCCTACAGAACAATTGAGGATTCACGCAGCGACCCTCGAGCATCATTGAATGAATATCGAAGTCTAAGAAGAGTAGTAAGCTAAGAAAAGTGGAGTGTCTTTGAATTTCCCCCAGAGAGAGTTCAGAGTCCAGAGCCCCCCCTGTCAGAGGGGAGCCCCATCAGAGAGCCCCCCCTCTGTCCCAGGTCCGACCTGACAAAGTGCCCCGGAAAAGAGCAGACAGCCAGCCCCGAACCGGACTCAACGCGACTCAACAAAAACGGTGAACTCAGCGTTGAGAGAATAAGCTCCCCTCGATTGACATCCTCACAAAACAAGATGCCCTCACGCACTCAAACAACGCCGACTCAAACCGGTCCGCGGGTGGCCCAAACTGTCCACTAAGGACTAAAGAAGCTACCGTTTTTTCATGTCGCGAGAGAGTGGGGGGGGGTACGAACAATATTTTCCCGCCCTGATGGGCAGCAAATTACACAACCCCCCGCTCCACCTAAGGTCGCGCTGGCAGAACTTGGAACTCACCGGCCTGGTGCCCACAAATGCGGGCGGCGGCGCCGCGGACGTGTTTCGCGGGGCCCGAGGGCACAAGAGGAGGACGAGGAGGAGGAGGAGAAGGAGGAGGGGAGGAGGAGAGGATGGAGGAGGAGAGGGAGGAGGATGAGGAGGAGGAGGAGAAGAGGAGGAGGAGGAGAAGAGGAGGAAGAGGAGGAAGAGGAGAGGGAGGAGTGAAGACAGCATGCCAGGCCCCTATCGGGCAAACATATCCTTCCCACTTCGCGAGACACTCTTCGCGATAGCCACTCTCGAGACAGTCCGAGGGGCGGCAAATGAGAAACAAAACTGAAGCAATGCCAACTGAGGTATGCTTGCCCGAGGTTGGTAGCATGAGCAGGGGCGGCCTGCGATCAGGAAGCGGCGCCAGGTGCGGCGCCCTCGCCGCCCCTCTTGCGCTTCTTGCCGACCTGGGCCTTCGGCTTGGCGCTCGGGGCAAAAAAAAAAAAGAAAAGGGGCAAAAAAAAAAAAGGGCGAGAACACAAAAGAAGAAAAAAGCATAAAAAAACAAAGGTAAAAAAGATAAAAAAAAAAAAAAAGAAACAAACAAACGCACAGCAACCGTTCCCACAAAAAATAGGGTCAAAAAGAAAAAAAGGCTCCTCTGCGCCTCGACCTGGCCGCGCTTGGCACCGAGGAGGATGCTCATCTCGGCCTGAACATCCTCGACCATCGGTTTGACGATGGCGCTGAAGTTCTTGAATGTCACCTCGGCGCCCGACAAGCCCGTCTGCTCGACCATGCTCGACTTGAGCGAGCCCATCTCTTCGGCCACAATGAGGCTGAGCGTGCCCGACTGCTCGATCGTACTATCGAGCTTCTTGAGCGCATCCGTCAAAGGCTTCATGGCCTGCGGCGTGTTGAAGCGCGACCAAGAAGAGTCCTTGCCGATCTGCTTCTGGAGGTTCGTCGCTTGGGTCACGGTACTGCCGTAGTCCTCCTTCAGTGCGCATGCTGCTCGGAAGGCCGCCATCAGGGCCGCGTCCTTCTTGACCTTCTTCTCGCGAGGCAGATTGCCACCGCCACCACCATCACCGCCAGTAGTTCCATCAGGAGTTCCACCAGCGGCACCAGTAGTTCCACCAGGAGTTCCAACGGGACCAGTAGTTCCACCAGGAGTGCGAGCAGACGACGCAGCTGAACCAGGAGGGGCACCACCAGCGCCTGCGCCAGTTGCTGCATCAGTAGTTCCACGAGGAGGCGCTGCCTCTGCACCATGAGCTCCACCAGCCTGGGGCGCAGCACGTGCAGCCGCGGGCGCAGCAGCTGCCGCCCCAGAAGACGCCGAGCCGCTGCCGCGCGGGGCCGCAGCCTGCTAGAAAGGGGTATCTTCCTCCTCCTCCTCCTCCTCCTCCTCCTCCTCCTCCTCTTCCTCTTCCTCCTCCTCCTCCTCGTCCTCCTCAAGTTGTTCCCCCCTCGCCTCCTTATGTTCCCTCATCCTGCTCCTCAGTTGCCTTCTCCTCTTCCTCCGCCTCCTCCTCCGCCTCCCACCTTCTCCTCTTCCACTCCCCCTCATCCTCCTCATTCTCCGCCTGCCTCTGTCCCCTTGTGTGTCTTTCTCCTTCGCGTTCCAGGTCCCCATCTCTTGTGCGTTCCTCTTCTTCTGTGTCTTGTTCGTCTGCTTATTCTTCTTCTTTCCCCTTTCCCCCCTCCCCCAGCCTCATCCCCCCCCCCATCCTCCTCCCGCCTCCTCCTGCCTCCTCCTCCTCCTCCTCCTCCTCCTCCCCCTCCTCCCCCTCCTCCTCCTCCTCCTCTTCCTCCTTTCAGCCCGTCTCATTTTGCATTCGGTGCTCTCTCATCGGATGCGCCTTGGTAATTCAAGCGATTCGTTTCTCGGGGCCGCTCGAGGCCTTTGAACGGGGGGAATTCACGTGTTTCGTCTCCTGGAGTATTAAACGATTGACTTCCGAACATTCCTTGGGCGCCATGGGAATGGGCCCCGAGCCCTACACGATTACGCCCAGCCTTTCAGAAGAGAAGCCCTTGGGCCTCTGAGCGGGTGGTCGAACCTTCACGCCTGAGAGACCAGTTCCTCACCATGGACTCCCTGAAGCCCTCCTCCACGTACAAGAAGCGTGCGCTCTGCGCACGGCTGCAATATTTGAAGTGCGGGTATCCCGTATCCAAGCAGGTCAAGGCCCAATTGACTGCATTCTTCATTCCCTGGGCCCCACCTCCCTCTTCGACCGCGATGCGCCCCAAGGGGCGGTAGACGCTGCCCCGAAATTCCTCCAGGATCTCAGACTCAGTGTAGCTTTTGCTGATTACAACCTTGTCGTGCTGCTGTTTCGCCCAAGTCTGGCGAAATGCTCTCTTTGCATCGGGGCCCTGGGCGCTCTGGTACTCGTCATGCTTAGCTGGGTTGGCCTTCAAATAACGCTGAAATCTCCCTGCAACTGGATTGCCCTTATATCCACGGGCGTCGAAGTCGAAACCGTTATCTTTGATGTTTGTCCAGAACTTCTGTTCTGGAGTCAAGCTTTTTTCTTCTGTTTCTGTCTCTTGTTTGCGTTTGATCGCTGCCATGCTGACGATCACCTCATCCACTGTGTCCTGCTGCCCCCCAGTGTGGTCGAACAACATCCTTTCCACGCTGGCAACTTCGAGGTTGGAGTTGGTCAGGCCCTCCACCAGCATGTTGGCGAGATGCTGCAGACACGCATCCGTATTTTAGTAGGCATTCCGACATCTCAGCGCTCTGTGGACCTTTCTCTGTGGTTTGCGCTGCGACTGGCACTACCCCCCCCCCAAAAAAAAACAGGATGATGGAAAGGATGAGGCTGAGGAGGAGGAGGGGGGGGAGGGAGGAAGAGAGGCGGAGGAGGATGATGAGAAGGAGGAGTACGAGGAAGGAGCTCGAGGCGACGGAAAAGAAGGGTGAGGAGGGGGATGAGGAGGAGGAGCGCCCCAGACTCTGCAGCGTGGAGTGCGAGGGCTAACAGATTTGAAACGCTCGATCTTTCACGTGGCCCGCGCCCCACAACGTCGATCGGCCATGACACAAACATCTTGCGCGCATAAGACGTGCAACCATGGAAAACGAATGTCGCAGCCTAAGGACCCAATCGCCATCTCGCCATTTAAGAGGGGGGCTTCCAGACGACAGGCCAACCAGAAGATCCGGACTGGAGAGCGTTGAGCTCCATTGGTTTTGATGCGGGGGAGGGGGGCCGACTTTAAATTCATAGAGGGGGGCGGCTGGCCTCCACTATCAGACTCCATGCCCCCAAAGACCCCTCGTTCAGTTTGTCGCTCGACCGATCGAAAAAAAGTGGTCCTTGTTAGAATCCAGAACTGCAGAACCCGCTGGCGATGACGTTGGCGTTCCTGAGGGGGTCGCCGCGGGGGGGGCGTTGACGCCGAAGTAGGGCAAGGTCGACGGTGAGAGGCCTGCCTCCTCCCGCATCTCGGCCTCCTCGCCAAGGGTCGGCAGTCGGTCGGTCCACGGGATGCCCGACGGAAGCTCCTGGCAGCGGCAACGGAAGGGGGATCAGCGCGAATGGACGTACGAGAGGGGGATGAGCAGTAGATCTCACGACCGCATGTCGAATAGCACAAGTGGGTTGGCCACCCAGGATGGATCGGGCGATTGGCGCAAGGCGGAGAGACGGGGGCAGGATAGGAGGGCTGGGGGGGGAGGGGTGAGGAATGTCAGGAGGACGAGGGGGGAGCACGAGGAGGATGAGGAGAATAACCCCGAGGAGGAGATCGAGGAGGAGGAGGAGTAGGAGGAGGAAGTCCATCTGACGTTTCGGAGTTCTCCTGATCCCTTTGCGCTCGTTTCGTCTGTCGTCCCTCCTTCCCTTCCCTCTATCCTCCCTCCTTGCTCAGGCGGGCGCGCTATTTGATTTCTGCGATGGCGTGACACGCATGCCGAAACTATGCGCAACTGGATGTTCTCGCAGCACCCCTGGAACAATCGGACACGACTGCAAGTAGCTATGTTGTGGTTTGTTGTGTCTGCGCACATCGTTCAACCATCCCACTGGTTCCTGCTCTGGAATGCCGCCTGGAAAACTTAGCAGCGTGCAGCGTGAAAAGTCGCTCTCTCACTCGCAGCTCTTTCAGTGCCTCTAGTCGAAGATGCTCCCAAAGCCTGGCGGCGGCACGTCGTCGAAGCCATGCCCCAAAGCTGTCCACGCCGCCGCCTCCTCGTCACTGCTGGCCACCGAAGCAGCCTCCTGCGTCTCGCCCGAAGCGCCAGGCCCCTTCGACGGCGACGCCTTCTTCCCCACAACCTTGGCCTTGCCCTTGGCTTTGCCCTTCGGCTTCGGGCGCTTGGCAGCCGCCGCAGGCGTCGTGTCGCCCCCGCAGCCTTTACCTCCTGCAGCTGCCTCGCCTTGGCCACCAGGTTTTGCTGCAGGGCGCTTGCGCACTGTCGTTAATGACGCCACCTTGGCCACGCAGCTGATCTTCTTCTTGATGAGGTCGTCCTTGTCGATCTTGTTATTCGCGTACATGTGCACCAACTCCTCCATGTGCTTGCGGATCTGGCTGATCTGATCCTCGTTGAAGTCTCGCAAGGATTGCTGGGCGAACTGTTCATTGCCATCCGACTTCTCATGGCGAATTGCCAAAAATGAGAAGCCGCTCCGCTTGAAGTCGACGAGCCTGACTTGGCCGTCGGTCACGTGCTCGACCCAGTTCCTGGCTACCTGGGAACCCTTGGAGGAAGACTTCAAGAGCTCCTCCAACTTCTCAGCGCTTACATGCGGTACCGACCACGTGTCTCCATCTGGCCAGACCGCAACGGGGAAATCTTTGCAGTGCCCTTTCAGCAAGCCATTCTCAACGCTCGGGATCACCAAACGAATCGCCTTCTCTCGCTCCGCGCCCTTGGTGCGGAAGGCGGCCTGCATCTCAGCATCCCACGCGTACTTGCACACGTAATCCTCAGGAGTTGTTGTCCTCCGCCGCTTCGAGCAGGGCGCCCCAGCAGGCAGCTTGTCTGCAGCACTGGTCAATCCCGAAGCGCTCGATCCCGAAGCTGCAGTCTCCGCTGGCTGTTCAGCAGCCTTGCCAGCCGCCAACTCCTCGCCAGCTGACTCCTCGTCCTCAACTCCCTCCTCGGTGGCGCCAGCTTCGTCCTCAGCCTCATCCTTCTCGGACTGCTCCTCCTCTTCACCCTCTTCGAACTCCTCGCCGTCGCCCCCCTCCTCCTCAGCAGCGCGGCCTGCGTCTCCTCCTGCATCGCCAGCTGGCTCGGCAGGAACGACCTCGGCCGCGCTCCCTGCGCCGTCCTCCTCTGCGCCGCTGTCGGCACCGTCGACTTCCTCATCGGCAGGGCCGGATGGTCTCGAGTGCTTCCGAAACGCCGCCAGGCATTCTGGGATGTCCTCGTCGTCGGCACGATCCTTGAACTTGCTGACGTACTGCTCCATGTCGCGCCTCATTGCCCTCAATCTCTTGGCCAAGCCCTCTGCCCACTTGCTTCTCGAGTCGCTCAGGTGGAACGTGTCTTCCTTCTCCGCCGCCACTGTGTCGAGCGCCTTCTGTAGCTGGAGTTGTGGCAAGCCCGCTGGCAGCAACGCTATCGTGTCTGCCCACTTGAGCAACTCGACGTTGTTGCGCGGGCCTCCTGTCACATCATCCCTGTAGTCGGGCCTGGCGGTCGAGGTGATTACCTTACTGAGATCCTCGGTGAGCGCATCAAGATCATCATCGGATATGCTGGCTCTCCTCTTGGGAGCCATCTAGGCCGTTCTGCGCGCAGATGCACTCGGCGCGTGCGCAAACCTGAATGTTTTGAGCCAAATCGGCAACAGAAGTCACGCTGAACAACAATTCGAATCGATGAGATTCGGCATGCCTGCCGAAAAATCAATGTGTCAAATCAATGAGTCATTGAGCGCGCCCTCAAGGGTACCGCCCTGCACGCTAGGATTCCGAAACTACCACGCCTGTGGTATCGCCCTGGCCAGCGATCGGCTGCGAATCCAGCTATGGCGACGAGGGTGGCACCACGCGCTACACCACGCGCCCTTCCATCTCCCGAATTCTTCTCTCTCTTGGGCGGGGGTTGGGGAGGGGGCTGGAGTTGGGGGCGTAACTAACATTGCTAGCTGCATGCCCCCGATTTGGTTCCGAGCGGGACTCCAATGGGTCGATCACGGGGCAATTCAGGAATCACCGCGAGACAGGCACGGGGAGATGTCGGCACCGAAAGGGGAGAGGTGAGCGAGAGTAGACAAGACACCTTGCAAAAAAAGAGAACATAAAAAGAAGAGCCGCTGCAGTCCTCCCGTTCCGCGACGCGACCTTCCAGCGCCATGGCCGCGCACGTATCTGTCTGGAGAAGAGAAGGTAGAATAATCTTCTCGGGCGCCCCCCGCGAACTCAGCCGCTGACTGGCGGCGAACGACAACGCACTGCACAATGCTCGCCGTCGTCCCTCGGTTTCGTCTCCCCCGTCGCCCTCGTCGTATCTGTCGTCGTCGTCGACCGCCGTCGCCATCGTCGCCATCGTTTAAACGATGGCGACGATGGCGTTTCCGTCGTCGTCGTCGCGGCAGCTTCCGTCGACCATGGCGCGTGGAATTATTTGACACTAGTGCCAAATAATTCCACGACCCCCGAAAGGGGGTTGGCGGGTATGTGAACCCAAGATGTCGATGTTTCTCTATGTTTCCTCATCCTTGTCCTGTTTCTCCCTCCCCCTCTCTGTTTTTATCCTTCTGTTTGTTTGTTCATTTCCCCCTGTTTCTAGTTCGTGCCTTTTTTTTTATTGTGGCGCACAAGATGTCAGAAACAAGAAGATCGAAACAAAAAAAATGTAACTCAAAGAGTTGCTCACCAACTTTGTAAGCAAAACAAAGAAAAGCTTATAAATAAGTTTTGGATCTTATTATAAGCTTCAGCTTCGTAAAGCTTAAAATAAGCCGGTGTGAACCTCAGGGTCAGGCTCCGCTGGCCAGGTGTCGTCGGCTGGGGCGACGTCACCCGCGTGGCAGCGAGACGGTGCGGGACCTGTTCACGCGCGGCGAGCGCGCGAGACGGCGGTCTTCCTCGACCGCCGCCGCCCACCGGCGCCGCCGGTGCCCCCCCCCCCTGGCGCCCTGAACATGTTTATCGCGGGGGGTGATTGCCCCGGGAAAACTGAGCACATGAGCTACCCTACGCGAGCAGATGGACATTTTAATGTTCATTAAGCGTTTACAAATTAAATGTAATAAGTTTTGAACTTTGGATTTTTGCTTCTTCCTCCTCCCCTGCTTCTCCTGCTCTTCTTCCTTCTCATCATGCTGCTCTTTCTTTTCTTGTTTATTTATATCTCTCTTTCTGATTATTTTTCTCCTTGCCCCCCTGCCCCCCTGAACTTGTTTATCGCGGGGGGTGGTTATCATGGAAAAACTAAGCGCGTGAGCTACCCTGCGCGAGCGGATGGAAATTTTTAATTATCATTAAGCACTTACGAATGAATTCTGATAAATTTTGAACTTGGGATTTTTGCTATCTCCTTCTCCTCCCCCCCTCTTGCTGCTTCTCCTGCTCCCCCCCCCCTTCCTCCTCTACCTCCTCTTCTCTTTCTACGTTTCTATTTATAATTATATATTTCTTCTCCCCCCCCCTGCCCCCTGAACTTGTTCATCGCTGTGCGTGAATATCTGGGGGGGGGGGGGGGGGGCGAGGCGCATGGGGGATCTCTGAAGAAACCAATAGGCATCTCTACAGAAACCAATAGGAATCTTAGGGGATCTATAAGAATTATAGGAGTGTGCACAAAAAAACTGCAGGAAACCATGTGAATCTGTTTCTATTTTTCAAATGTAGAAGCGAAGCTCGGGGGCGCGCCGCCGCGCGCGCGGCGGCGCCCGGCTAAGCTTCGCTCCTAGATTATTCACCATTAATAAATCTACATTTAAATCCAAAAGCGAAATCGAAAAATTCTGGGGCCCCCTAACGAGGCTGAAGGAACGCGCCGGCTTTTTATATTTTATAATGCAGAACTGAAGCTAGGAAGCGCGCGCGCGCGGTGACCGGGCCACCGCGCGCGCGCGCGGGTGGCCCGGCCACCGCGCGCGCGCGGGTGACCCGGTCCTGGGAAAACTAAGCACATGAGCTAAAATTGCAATTTTCATCAAGCGCTTACAAATTAAATCTAATGCGTTTTGAATGTTGGTGTTTTGCTTCCCTCTTGTTTTTTTTTCCTCCTCTTCCTCTTTCTCCTCCTCCTCATCCTCTTCCTCCTCTTCCTCCCCTGCCTCCTCTTCCTCTTCTTCTCTTTCTATCTTTCTATTTAACTATCTATATTTATTATCCTCACCCCTGGCGCCCTACTAAAGGCCCTAGGGCCAGGCCCAGGGTAGGCCTAGGGATACCCTAGGGGTAAGCCTAGGGGAAGGCTCTAGGGGTAGGCCTAGAGGTAGGCTTAGGGGTAGGCCCAGGGGTGTAGGCCTAGGGGTAGGCCCTAGGGGTAGGCGTAGGGGTAGGCCCTAGGGGTAGGCCCTAGGGGTAGGCTGTATGGGGTATGCCCTCTAAGGTAGGTCTAGGGGTACGCCCTAGGTGTAGGCCCAGGATAGGCCCAGGGGTAGGCCCTAGGGGTAGGCCTAGGGCAGGCCTAGAGGTAGGCCCTATGGTAGGCCTAGGAAAGGCCAAAGGGCCTTTTAAGAAAGGTTGGAGGAGGCTTCGAGCGAAACGAGCACGCTCGTCGAGGACCATCCAAACGAAACAAACACGTTCTTCGAAGACGTCTCAAGCGAAACGAGCAGCATAAATATACGTAGACATTTGGTGGCTCAAGATTTCGAGCTACCCAAGATACTTGCTCCAAGGCGACAATGGAACATCGCATCGAGTTCGAGAAATGTGAGAGGCAAGGGTCTCGACCGAGATCGCCGAGATCAATGGCTGACCGCCCCCGCAGCCGTTGGCGAGACATCTTCCCCGAGGACATGGCTGCTCGTCTCCCGAGCGAGTGGCGAGACATCTTATCCGGGGAGAGCCTCGCGCCGTTCGAGAACACCCAAGACATGTTCGAAGCAACGCGGCAAGAGCTCGGGCTCACAGGACCACCCGAGAACGCGCAGTGTCTCGAAGAGCAGGAGGCGCTCGAGGAGAACGCCCAGCTCCCGAACAACGAGGCCGAGAGCCCGAGGTCTCGAGAGCCCGAAACACCAGAGAAGCCCGAGGGCGAGACCGACGAGCTTGACGACGAGGACACCAAGCGCCAAGAGCTCGAGGGACCCGAGACGCCCGAGAAACTCGAGGTCCGCGAGAAGGAGCTCCAGGCCGTCAGCAGCAGCGGCGAGAAGAAGCGAGGACGAGACCGAGACGAACTCGAGGCACCCGCGGAGTCCGAGGACGAGGTCGGGAGCCCGAGGTCCCGAGAGCCCGAAACACCAGAGAAGCCCGAGAGCGAGACCGACGAGCTTGACGACGAGGACACCGAGCGCCAGGAGCTCGTGCCCGAAGAGGGCAAGCGCCTAGTAGTGGAACCTGAGGTTTACGTAGTGTTCTCGAGCCCCGACACTGGGACGACCGAGCCAGCCTCAGACGCCGAGGCGCAAGCCAGGGCGCCCTACGAGCGCACGCACAGCCAGTGGATACTCGAGGGGCGCTCGAGTTAGATTCACGCGCTCAGAGTGCTTCGAGAAAACAAGGAAGATGCCCCTATCGTGCGTCGAAAATGGCTCGAGGACATTTCAAGCGAAGCGACAGAATTGCAGAGGATGTCTCAAGCGGAAGAAGCTTTTGTTCGATGATATTTCAAGCGAAACGAGCACGCACGCGAGAATGTTTCACACGATACGAGCAATTGTTCGAGGATGTCCCAAGCGAAACATCAAATTGTTTCAAGGATGTCTCAAGCAAATGCTTCAGTAGCCTGAGGAGTCTCAGGCGAAACAAACAATTACGTCGAGGACGCCTCAAGCGAAACAAACTATTTGTCGAGGATCTCTCAAGCGAGGTAACGCATAATTTCGAAGATATGTCAATGAAAACAAATGTTTTGTCGAGGATGCCTCAAGCGAAGCGAGAGTGCTTTCGAGGATGTCTCTTCCCGCGGTTCGCGTTGGCTCAAGGATTTCGAGCGCGAGCGAGGAACGCACCTGGAGCGGGCGCGCTGCAGGCGACATGGCCAAGCGGGCGACTGTCTCCCAGAAGCCAGCGCAGGCGCCGAGGGGGCCCAAACCTTCTGTCGTGAAAAAAACCAACGCAGGACTCGAGGAAGTCCAAGCCGACAACCGTGAAGATCGAGACGGAGCTCAAGATCGAGACTGCGGTCAAGACCGACGTCAAGCAGCAGAGGGCGGAGACCGAGACGGAGGTCGAGACCGAGCTCGACCCCGCCCAAGAGAACAAGTGGAGGGCCTCTCTCGTGCGCGGCAAGACAGCCGAGCAGCTCCAGCCAGACGAGCCCACGCAGTTCCAGGACGACGAGCTTCAGTCGAGAGAGGCCAGGGTTGAGTCGAGTGAGGCACTCTAGATGGCCGAGGCGCTGCTCTTGCGAGCTAACCGAGGCTGGACGCGAAGAAAAATGTCGAGTGGCCCAGTATCGAGGCTCCCACTCGATGAATTCAAGAGAACCCAAAGAGAACCCTCGAGGATGTCTCAAGCGAAACAAGCATACACTAGAAGGTGTCTCAAGCAAAGCGAGAGATTTGTCGAAGATGTCTCAAGCGAAACGAGAGATTTCTTCGAGGATGTGTCAAGCGAAACAAGCAAATGCTCGAGGATGTCTCCAGCGAAATGA